TGGGCTCTGTGGGGAAGTGGTTGCTTTTCACCTTTCTATTTGAGACTTCTTAGAACGGAAGTAACACGAATGTTATGCCTGAAATTATCTTTTAGTTTTGCACTTATGAAGTGTTATATATGCCAATAATTGTTTACACGTTCGTTTAGGTTGTAAATGAGCCAAACTAAGTCGAATACTATAATACTCGAGCTCGGATTAAGACATTATCAAGACTTCACCTTCTGATAGCCACTTTCTCACTCAAAACCTGTAGTTCATGTGAAATAGCTGAAAAAAATGTATCAATACAAAAACTGAGCTTCATACCATCTTTCTTATCAAGATTAGGCCTCTTTGGTGTTTTTACCCTTAAAAAACGTCCCCGTCCTACCATTTTTTGTGCACCCAATTAGCACCTTTCTGGCTTTCAAATCACATATCTTAATTCATCAAAAAGTGAATCATATACCTTAAAAAACAAAAAACAAAAAACAAAAGGTGTCATGCATCTGTGCATCTCAAATTTTCCAAAGCCCAACAGGCAACATGACCCCGTACAATAATTTCAAATTCGACTACACCATGGGATATACACACCCACATATTTGAAGAGATGAGACGTTTAATTCAATTTTCCCATACACACCATGGAATTAATATACATCGTTAGAAAAATTAGCAACTTAGAGCATTTTCAAATGAGATATCAAAAAGTCCACATCATCAATAACGGTAAAAAAAAAACCACATCATTAGTGTTTTTCAACGGAAATGTCAATTCATATGTGGCATGACATGGAATGGCAGTAGCGGAAGTTGATGTCAAATTTGACAGCATCTTTATATCTATTTTTAGTAATTAATGCTTTTCATAATTTTTATTCTTATCTTTTGTTTTAAAAATACTAATTACAACTATAAAAAGTAAATAACGTAATAAATAATAGTTTAAATTTGACATATAGGTTGGAAAAAAAAAAAAAAACAATGTATCACATAAGTCTGCAAATTTAAATTTTATGTTTAAAATTTGACATCCCCTTTGGAGATGGTTTTAGGCCATTAATTTATTTAATTTTGTGGGATTTACTTTTCAAACGTGTATTAGGTCAATTGGTTAGAACAATGTTCCCCATTGCACTCCAATCGTGTCCCTCTTCTCATAGTCTTTGGCAAGATGTGACATTTTCACCATGCAGTGATCTAGGTAGTGTATCAATATTTTTTCGATTAGAGAATACACTTCAAAATGACCAATAACATAGCAAAGAACACAATTTTACAAATTGTGACAAGTTTTAGCATCACGATAATAAGTAACTATAAATGTCACGAGACTAATTATTCGTGTCTTTGCTTTCCTTACTTTTGCCCAATTTTGTGTAGCAAATATTTCATCTTTCCTCTTAATTTGTTAACACAACTACCAAGAGTTCATGACCATGAAAAAACCTAACCCACCAAAATATGTGAACCAGCTGATTAGTAGTAGTGATTAGGTACTTAATATCTCACCAAACCAAGTAATGACAACCACAAGAAAAATAACCAAAAGGATCACGACTTTTGTATCACACTCATGCAACACCAGACTAACCCATTTTGTTAATAATTTAGTTGAGTCCAATGTTAAAAGTTGGAGTAACTAAGCCAGCAAAACAATTGGCTAGCTGCAATTTCAATTGCAACAAGAATGGCCGGCAAATACCCATTTCTGGACAGTGCGACACCTAATTAGACAAGATTAATTAATTAACTAATTAATTTGTCTCTAAGCAAACAATGGCCATACATATGTCAATGCTATGCCATTGGAGGAGCTCGCAGCGCCTGTGGGTTTTTATTCGTGGCCATACAGCTGTGTGAAGTTGGAGAGCACGCCACAATACTACTTCGACATATCTAATTCGAGTATGTGAAGTGACAAGTGTCCACAAGTAGTCACATTCCATAACATGGGAGCCAAACCTGACAAAAACACTTCGTTTTCGTTAGGACATGTATGAATGGATCATCTTTTGTGCCGATGTTGTGCTGCATCGTTCTGATTGGCTATGAGGTTCTTTGAACTGTTTGAGTGGTACACGATGTTGTATACTCTATGCAAAGAGGTCAATTTTTTCACTTCCGTGGACAAGGAAGGGATGTATCAATGGATCCATGTCTACTTGGCAATCTTCATTAAATTACGAAGATATATTTCCACTTTTTTATTTTTTATTTTTTATTTTTTTATAGATAAATGAACACTTAAATGTCTAAGTCAAAACTACGAGCATTTCTAGCAGCAGTAGGAATTGTGTGATCCCGAATATGGAGCCCATTAAAAAAAGTGTCCTAACTTTGTAATTACACGAAGAAAAAAGTTTGCCAATCTAAATACATGTTTTTTATGAGTCACTTAGTACTATGATCTTGTAGTATTTATCTTCACTTGTAAATGAGAGTTTTTAGGTTTGATTCTCGCGAAAGAAAAATTTGAATCTCATTATTATGGCTCGTCCATTATAAGGTTTAGCGCATTCCTCCACCCATTTAGTATAAATAATATCATTTTTTAAAATAAAAATAAAAATTTTAGGATAAATTTCAACCTCCATGGGTTGCACAAATTTTGATACCACGAAAATGACTTAGAGTTAAAGTATCGCATCTTTACATATAAGCGAGTTCACGGGGCATCTACTTTTTATATTTAAAAAAAAAAAAAAGGCCTAATCTAGGGCATCTTTATGGAGATAGAGATGTTTGGTATTCATAGGACTATAGGAGTTATAGATGATAGTATGGTCAAAATTTAGAGGAATGCAATTTTTTTGTAAAATATTACAAAATATTTGATCATTTTAAATATTAGCAATGTACTTATATTAATCATATTGTATGCGAAATACAACTAGACTAAGTGCAAAATACTTCCAATTCATTTACCACGTATACAGCTGTATAATACAATATATGACGCAATTTCTTTTAAATAATGAGTATTTGACATAAACTAAGCAAAGACTTATCGACCTTGTTATTTTCTTCATAATAAACTATTTCCTAATCTATATGATTGATAATTTGATAGAGTAGCCAATAAAGAGAATCTTTATAAAAGAAGCAAAGTCACACTATTATTTAGTTAGTTAGCTCTCGTTTTGAGCATATACTGAATATTTAAATGTGGAGAAGAATAATGGGAGAGGATACATGACAAGGTAACCTCCCCACTACATGTGCCAATGTCAATGATTTCCCATCTCTCTGTGTATTTGGACATCTCCATTCTCACGCAACCTGTCCACATGCTTCACTTCACACATTCACCAAAACGTGCACTTAGTAAACTCTCCACAACTTAGCTAGTAGTGTGAAAGTAACACTCTCTGAATTCATAATCTATATACAAGCATATACCAACTACAATTGTTTGTGCACACGTAAATACCAACTATAAATTATCTGTACTCACACAAATACATATATAAGTTTGACGTCTTTGTAGCACAATACGTAAAAGATTTTAGAGTTCATTCACTTGCATTCGGCTGGTGATTGGCCTATGTTAACTGATGTCTTTGTAGATAATACTTGGACCAATCTAGCTAGGGTTACATTCTTGAAAATGTGACATATATGGAAAAGGAAATTCTATGACATGGTAAAGGAAAGAGGTACTAAGGACAGAGGAACTCTGAATAATAGCTGATGATTGATAACTGGGTGATTTGAAAAGCAGTGACCTATCACAGCAAATATGAGAGGGGATTGTGGGTCCTAACGAAGCATACAGCGAGAGAGAGAGAGAGTGGAGTGAGAGTGGAGCTTGTATAAGTCGAAGCTAGCCAAACCCTGAAAACAAAGGGGAGTGTGTGTGTGTGGCGTGAGAGAGCTGGAGTATCTGTCTTGGGAATATCAATGAATGTGTCATGGTGTGGGCCTCACTAGAGAGAGAGATGATGATTGATGATCTCAAATATAGTTAAAGTGACTTGCAAAGTAAGGGATCGCATAGTAGCACAGCAGCACAGTTGGGTAAATTAGGTACAACCGTTTAGAGAGAGTGTTTGTAAATATATAATTATATATGTTAAGCTTGGAACTAACTAAATTATCAGTATATTTGAAACACGAATGAATACATTACGTATCATAATATAAATATTAAAATATATCTTTCTTTTTATATTATAATACGTAGTATCGTGACTTATGTTTTGAATGCATAAAAAAAATCTCATGATTGATAAAATTAACATACAAATTGATTATCTTGATAAAAAAAATACAAATTGATTATTATTGTTGTTTATTATGAATTAAGCTAAAAAATGGGAGTGAGAGAGAGAGAGAGAGAGAGAGAGAGAGAGAGAGATAGAGATACATGTGGCATGCAGTTGCCAACTTTGCTTGCTATCCATTACTTCTTGTCATTTAATAGAACAGACTGTGAAGTGAGAGGGAGAGAGCTTTTATAGGCTTTTTAGCTTTATTATTATTAATAATAATGTAATAAAAATATATAACACACCAATTCCAGGAGGAGAAGATGGAACCTAATCCATGACTTTTGGTTGTGGTGCTGGATGCTCCACTGCTGCCCAACCCTAGGCCCTTTGCTGCCGTGCCATCCCTCCCATGCCACTACATTCCACCCCCCCCCCCTCCTTTTTCTCCCTCTCTCTCTCTCTCACATAGTGTTTATGTGCATAGCTCTCCCACTTGAAAAGAACATAGAAAAAGGGAGGAAAATTGTAAAAAGAAAAAGATGCCTCATCACTCACTTTTCGTGAATGAAAGGCAACCATGAACACTAACCACTTACTTACTCAAAGTATTCAACTTCAACAATTTAGATGATTCAACAATTTTTGAGTGGCAAAGTAATATTCTAATTAAAAAAATCATCTATATGAATAGAAATGCGAGCTTTGGTGCAAAAAACTTTGTACTATTCTAATCAACTGACGTAACTCACATTTACTTCAAGATCCAACATTTGGTAGTAAAAAATTAAAAAGTAAAAAGAATAGATCAAAGAATTTATATTCCACAAAAAAACTCAACAATAGTAAAAATTGAAAATAACAATGCTTATAATTCACATTGAGATGATCTACTAATTAAAGATTCTTTTTCTTTTTCTTATTTTTCTTTTTCTCTTAATAATGACAATCCACCAAAGCAGGGGCGTTGAAGACAAGGGTAGCTTGTTGGGTAGGCACAAACTGAAACTTAGACTCACGATGATGGTGATGGTGGTGATGATCATGATCTTCTGGTGCAGGAAGGTTTAGATCCAGTGGGAGAACATTTCTCTGCAGTTTGGTACTTGTGCCAATCATATTATTGCTACTATTATTCACAGCCACATGTGTAGCAGTAGCACTACCACTAGTAGTGTTACTATTGGTTGCTGCAGATGCAGTTCTGTGCCTTCTCATGTGGCCACCAAGTGCTTGACCAGATGTGAACTCAGACCCGCAGATCGAACACTCATGAATCTTAGGCTTATTACCTACTTGGATTGGAATTGCAGGAGGTGGGCTGCTCTTATATTTGATTAACTGCTTGCTTTGATCTTCAAATTCCTCAAAAGTTGTAGCTGTGATGAAATGGTGGGTTGGTGGAGCCACCGCTGGTGGTGATTTTTTTATCATCTCCTCCGTGCTACTCATTGACTTCGGTTTCTTGTGACTTGCTCTGTGGCCACCAAGTGCTTGAAATGAAGGGAAAGTTCTGTTGCATGTTTTGCACTCATAGACAAAAAAACCAGCCTTGCCCATGTTAGTATTTTGTGCTAGTCTTTCTTCAATGGTCTGCTTTGGATTAACATGATCACCCTGAGCCAAGAGGATTAGGCAATTTGCCATGTCCTCTTCTTCTTCCGTGCTCTCATAAATCTCACCAGAAGTTGTGGGAGATGTGAATGAATTTCCACAATAATTGTAATCGTGATCTCCTCCTCCAATAGTACCAGCGCCACAGGCGCTGGATGAGCTAGAGGTGACTGCCACGGTGACCACCCCGTTTGGGGACTGAGGCCTCTGTCGCTTGGTACGCCTGCCCTTGATCATGATCATCTGTGACGCTTGATCATTGGTCACGAGTAATTCTTCTTGGCCTTCCATGCTCACAAAAAAAAACCCAGAATTTGGTGTTGACCAAGAGCTAGCTTAGAGAAAGAAGTATTGGAGGAGAGAGAGGAAATTGTGATAGGGGTTTGATGAGAACTAAGAAAAGGAAGGGCTAGGAGGGAGTGAGAGAGAGAGAGAGAGAGAGAGAGAGAGAGAGAGGAGAGGGAGCAATGAAGGGAAGCAAGGAAAGAGGAGTGAGTGATGCTGTTATATATAGTGAATGGTGAGAAAGTTTTGTGGGGTCAAAAACCGCCCCTCCGCACACAGTTAACCATAAATAAGTCTGCCACCAAAATCTTCCTTGCGTTTCCAACCTTCGAAGTGTGACTACCAAGAAAAGTTTGTTCTATTTTCACGCGAATATATATATATATATACACACACACACAACACACACTGTACGTCAACATTTATTTCAATTGGAGAGTCATGTTCTCTCCCCTAGCATCATGAGAGTTATAAAGGAAAAGGAAGAGGCACATAATTTTAGAAAAATTAACGAAAAGTTTAAAAAAAATTTAATTCTAATGAAAAATGATAAATAAGATTGTAATGAATAGTACCAGAAAAAGGTAAAAATGTAATTTTTCATTAAAAATGAACAATATTATAAGTGTTTCGTTAAAACTCTTTATATTTTTACAAAGCACATTATTGATCATATCTCGTTTTAAAGTCAGATCTATACGTACGTATCAGACGTATTAACATAATAATTTTGTCACTAAAAAATATATATTATGTATGTAATTTATAATATAATGATCAGCAAATACGATCCATGCATAGACTTTTTAATGATTAGGTGGTGGGTTTGTTGTTTTATAGCTAAACTAAAATATATGACTCGTTGGAGTGTATGGCAAAAAGTTTTGCTTTCTATTATTGTTTAGTGTTTATACAATAATACTAAAATATGTTGTGTTAGTTTGTTATAAGAAGTTTTGTTATATTATTAGAGGAGAAAATAAAATGAGAGCGTTAGAGAGAGAGGAAACTAAAATTAAAATTATAATGGAGACACAGTTCAAGAATGTTTGGTACAAACGTTTGGAGTTGGTTTCACACTCTCTTTCTCATATCACATAGTAAGCCAACTAAGTCACGAATAAACACACCCATCAAAGCAAAGGAGGATTGCACGTTAAAAGCATGGCTACACCTCATTCACTTCATTTCTTGTTAAAGAAAAGTAGCACTACATCTTCATATATATTGAGTAATTGATGGGAGATTCGGGTGGCTTTCAATCAAACCCCTTATTACTTTTTTTTCTGTCAACTATTCTTTCTTTGGCACTTGCTCACTCATCTAAGGCTCGTGCCCAATATGTACCGGTAGCCTACATTAGCTCTAAGTAGTACCTATACATATATGAATGAGGTTGCATCACCAACTAATTAAGCACGAAAGCTTTCGTTATGAACGTAACACTCTTATGTAATATTGTCAATTCACTCATACTATAACACATGCCTTATTTATTAATATTATATTCGAAAGTATAAACTCGTCATTCACTCATATTCTAATGCATAAATTAAATCATTAACATCACGTGACAGTGCCACGTTAACATCCAAAAGAATTTATTATTAAGCCACCAAAAGTGCCCAGCCTAGCAAGAAAAGAAAGGGATCGATACATCATTTAAGTAGTGTGCACAAGTAGTGCCCACATCAAGTAGGCTTTGGTTAAGTGATATATAAGTAGGGCATGTTTACCATACAATACAAGTATATATGCACACGGGTATTTTGTGACTAGCTATATCATCTTGTTTAAAAGCAGTAGTTTTGGGTGCACTTGCAGCTAATTAATTTGTGATGTCTACAAATACCCTCTTTTTCGTTTATAACGATTAATTCAACCATTGATTGTTCGTTTGAATTATTAAGAACTCAATGTAAAGCTATTGGTGCAGCTAGCCGATTTCAATAATTAAACAACCAATGCTTCTTAAGTCTGAAGGTTAGTTACCACTAGCATTATTCATCTTCCCTTATAAGTGAGAGGTCATAGATTCGATTTTCGTGGATGACAAGTTTGATACCAATTATTATGGCTAACTCATTATGCGGCTTAACCTAATATCTCTTTCCTTAGTGTAAATAATATCGTTGTTTTATAAAATAACTATAAAACAAGTTTGAAGGTCCAGTTACCAATCAAATTCAAATGAGCACACAACGTAGTTGACAAATAAAAAATAAAAACTTAAGATACATCTTATTAGAACATAATTAGTGCTATATAATATTTTTCATGCTGGAACAATTGTTTGCAGTTCAAGTCCATTATTAGTTCAATAGTGAAGCTCCAATTATTCTAAAGAAGGGTTCGATTATCACAGAAAAGTTGGTGTATAAAAAGTGGTTCGATTATCACATACTTGTTTAGAAACAGAAATATAATACGGCTGCAGTTAGAACACTGCCATGTGAAAGCATTATATTTTTTGGACCAAGTAAATTGTATTAAAAGATGTAAACAAAATTTCTTGGAGTATTTTGCAAAGTCGGTCATGAGATTTTTGAGATAGATCATGTGGGAAACTGGAAAAAAAAAATAGTACATATAAACCACCGCTATATATGTGTATAATTGAATGGGTATTGCTATTCACACATCTCTTTTTACCTCCTACACATTCTTGTTAATTTTTGTCCGTTGATATACTTCAATTCATTCGATCTAATGGCCGGGAATTAAAAGAGGTGTGTGAGAAGTAAAAATAAGTGTGTAGATAGCATCACCATAATTGAATAACAACGAGACACTAAACATATTTCGTCCTGTATTGATGCCAATTAAAAAAAAAAAAGTAATTTCTGTAACTAGTTCGAGATATAAGAGTGAGTTAACATATAGTTTTAAGATAAATTTAAATAATCCCTAATACATCACAACAAAGACTAAGTACCCAGGATTAAGTTGACCTAATTAACGAAGAAGTTGAGGTTTCATCTTGCAATTTATTGACAATAGTGCTGGGGAGCGTAGTCCAACTCTTTATAATTAAACATACTCCACAATATCGCTTGCTCCTCACGTGTGACGACATTCAAGCCAACAAGTGAACACAAGTAAGAACATACTTATATATGACCATTTAGCTTAACACGTGAGACAACATGCTCTAATACCATAAAAAATAAAAAAAATTAAAATTCCACCCTAAAATCAATTGGTAATAAGAGAAAAAACTCAATTCCTTATAAACAAATACAAAGTCCTTACCTTTTCAATGTGACAACACTCATATTCTCACACTAGATTACCAAATTTTATATATTATGGCCAAGATCATCAGCATCTTCATCGATCTTTATCATTAACTGGTTAATTAAATCCTTGAATTGAATTTTCAAATAAACGTTGTGGTTTTAACAACAAAATGAAAAATAAAACTTGCCCTGGAACTTATTCAAAGACCTCAAAGTGTTTATTTTTCTTCATGAAAATACGACCTACCTATAAAAAATTAAAAAAAAAAAGAAAAAAAGAAAAGGAATTTGAGGCTTGTTGGGGGACTAAAGAAAGTTGAGGTTTCACCATAATTGACAATATGGGGAGTAGTCCAACTTACTTTTAAGCCCGTGCAAGGTCTATTCTCTCATCAATGTGAGATTCATTCTTAACACGCCCCTTCACGTATGTCGAAATTTCAAGCCTAACACATGGGCAACACAACAAGATGACATGGAGCACGTGTGGTCGTTTGAATTTACACATATGACAACTTGTTCTGATATCATGAAAAAAGTTGAGGTTCCACCATAAAACCAATTGGCAATATGGGAAGTAGTCCAACTTACTTATAAACTCATGCAATAGCTCTTACTGATTGCAATACAGAAGCGGTTACTATGACAGTTATTTCAGGGATTTTTTAGCGGTATCTTAGAGTATAGAATGCTTTGAATGTTTTAACCGTTAAATCTAATTTATAAATATAAAAAATATAAATTAAACGATTAAAACACCTAAAGTTTAGAATACTGCATGACATCCTAGAATTTTTTAGTTTTTTATTCGATGCTCGACTATTAAATGGTTCAATTTTCATGACAACCGTATTAGATATTTTTAAATTAACAATGTACAGTGTCACAAGTTCACAACGACCTCTTATGAAAATGTTGTTTTTAAAATCAGAGTGAAGTCTGAGAACAACTACCAAAGTTTAGGTACCTTCTACGGGACTTCATCTAGTGGTTCATGTACCGTTGACCCACTTATTTATTCCCAAGGAGCCACCCCCTTACTCATCTGGACAAAGATTGTCTGCACTTTTACTTTCGGTACTCTCCTATTTTGTGTGATCACGATTAAGCCACGTCAACATTATATATTGTTTTTTCTTTTATAGAGATAATAAGACAAAAATGAATAGTAATATAAAATGTTGACGTGGCTTAACCGTGACCACACAAAAAGGAGGGCACCGGAAGTGGGAAGGCAGACAATCCTTATCCCACTTCTGGTGCCCTTCCGTGCTTTCCTGTTTGTGTGGTCACAGTTAAGTCAAGTCAACATTTTATATTATTATTCATTTTTGTCTTATTATCTTTATAAAAAAAACAATAAAAAATATTGACGTGGCTTAACTGTGATTACACAAAACAGGAGGGCACATGAGGGTACCAGAAGTGGAAGGGCAGACAATCCTTGTCCTACTCATGCTACATTATTTGTTTGATGTATCACTTCCTTTATGCTTTCCTCAATCGCTAGAGTTTTTCAATTCCTTTGATAAATCAAAGCGAGTTACTTAGTCACTTAGATCCATACTTTTCAGTTAAGAATGATCAGTTGTGCAAATACATATTTGGCATATTAAGTGTTAGATTATTTGTCTTTTTTTTTTTTTTTTTTGGTCGTCGTCGTCAAAGTTAGATTATTTGTTGATTCATGAGACTTCGAGTGTATAGGCCGGCCGGGATAAATGAGCCAGATTAATTAGACTGCGAATTTAATATAATTTTAGGTTTTTCTTCACAATACAAGAACATAATATTTTAAACATACAATTACATATCTGTTAAAAGCCTAAAATATAACCCTCTAACCAAATGCGCGAGTTTGTTTGATATATCAGTTTGTTCTTTTATTGATTCATGAGATATTAGTTGCATTGTTGTACCATATTATCTCGGTCGGACTGGACTAGCTTCAGGGAT